CTCATGGATTATGGGTCATGGGAAGAGTAATAAAGACTTAACCAAACAAGGAAGGATTTGTAAGTGCTGTACAGCAAGATAGGACTGGTGGAGAGCCCTATCTCCAAGCTTTTTTTACTAGAAGCTTTGTTCAGAAGCTCAGAACTCAAGAAGAAGAAAAAAGATTTGAAGAACTGTTTTTGTTATTGTTGCTTTGTTTTTGTAGTATAATTGGGGGCGATGCAGTGGCGCAGTAGGTAGTGCTGTCGCCTCACAGCAAGATCGCTGGGTCGCTGGTTCGAGCCTTGGCTCAGTTGGCGCTTCTGTGTGAAGTTTGCATGTTCTCCCTGCGTTCGCTTGGGTTTCCTCCGGGTGCTCCGGTTTCCCCCACAGTCCAAAGACATGCAGTACAGGTGAATTGGGTAGGCTAAATTGTCCGTAGTGTGTGAATGTGTGTGTGGATGTTTCCCAGAGATGGGTTGCGGCTAGAAGGGCATCTGCTGTGTAAAAATGTGCTGGATAAGTTGGTGGTCCATTCCGCTGTGGTGACCCCGGATTAATAAAGGGACTAAGCCGACAAGAAAATGAATGAATGAATGAATGAATAAGCTATGCTAAAAGTGACCCGACCAGAACAATATTGATATAGTTGTGTCAGACTCACAGTTATTGTCAGCATAATTAAGCTCTGTATAGTGGACGATATTGTTCTGCATGCTGAAGGTGAGCAAAATCACTGAGTAATCCATGGCAAAAGCATCAGCAAGGCCCTTGAAAAAAGTTGAACAGATACTTGGCATTAATGGATGTGAATATTCAAGGCTTTGTTCAGATCACTGTGAGTCTTTAACCCTGATTATATTTAAATTGTATTTGTTTATATTTGTATTTATATTGTGGACTAAGTTGTAAATAATCTGAAGACACCGCTTCCCATTCACTTTGAATCGGTGACGTCAAGCGTTGCCGAACTGAATTGTGGGTTGCTCACTGCAGAAGTTGGGAATTTCTAAACTTTTCAAGCGTCAATAGAAGTGTCAGCCAATCATATTGCTTTATGCAAATACCCCAGCTCAGACAGTTGGCGATTACGGACTTACTTCATTGGCTGAGGCAGTTCGAACTTTAGACATGCCCTCTGTCAAACGCTGACTCTGACGCCATGTGAATGGGGTGTTAGGGGCTGGTCTTTTTCTGTCCTGAGTGTGAGATTCTTTTTTGTTTAAGTGTGAGAATTGTCAATATTTGTGACAAGTGCTCTACAGGTATAAAATCTTTCTAACAAAATAAGTCTCTTGCCTGATGCAAATCAATATATTGTTTAAAGTGATTGAGTAAACCAACCCAAGCTCATTCTAAAAAACGTAGTCCAGCGGACGTATCTGAAGACCGCGATTTACGTAGCCGTAGGTACGTATGGCTGCATTTAAATTTTTTAAGCGAACGCTACGGGGCGGTGTGACGCCATCCCTCTTCGTGCTCGCTGGCTGACAGCTTACCTTTGTGTGGAGGGCTTTCCTGCCGCAACCAGTTTGTTAACTCCTCATGTACGTCGGCAAAGTAGAGACGTGGAGCTGACCGCAACGACGGTGTGTTCGAGTCCGATGAAGAGCAGTTCTAGAAATTAGGTAAGACAGAAACAGAATCAAAAAGTGATCGAGTTCATAACAGGGTGAGAATATGGTGAAATCCGAAAACTTGGTCAAAATCAGACGAGGGCTTTTCTTTTTCTGGATGGCTTTTGTAAATCGTTGCTTGAGTTTAGGGAAGCAAGCGGGCAGGTGGGCGAGCGATTGGCCGGTCACCCAGACAATCATTCAAGCAGTCAGTCAGTCAGTCAGTCAGTCAGATGACAGTCGGTCACTCGACAGCGGCCTCTGGTGGGTTCACGCGAGAACAGCGCGAGCACCATTCGACGTTCGAGATCGCAAAACAAAAACTGCACAAATACGTACCTCCCGGAATGTATATTGCGGTCTCTAGAAAAATCCACGGGACTACGTTTTCAGAATGAGCCTGGGTTGGAGTAAACAGTTATTTTCAGGTCAAAATTCTAACCTTTATTTATTAGTCACCACAGCCTGTGTATCTACATATCTACTATCGAATTTTAGTCGTATTTCAGTGATAAAAAATACCCACATCCCTATTATTATATATATTTTTATTTTAGCAAAAATGAAACATCATACATACATGCTGCTTTTGTATCATTGTAGCACAGTTTGCGCTAAATACAGTGTCATTAGATTTTAGCCTTTATTAAATTTATAAGAAATTGAAAAAAAATGTCAGGATTCAATTCAATTCAGCTTTATTTGTATAGTGCTTTTACAATGTAGATTGTGTCAAAGCAGCTTCACATAAATGGTCATAGTAACTGGAACAGTGTAGTTCATTTTTTTAGTGTTTAAGTTCAGTTCAGTTCAGTTTAGCTCAGTTCAGTGTGATTTAATCATTACTGAGAGTTCAAACACTGAAGAGCAAATTCATCGATGCGTAGCTCTACCAATCCTGAACCATGCGAGCCAGTGGCGACAGCGGAGAGGGAAAAAAAATTTCACCTGATTGGAGTGAAGAAAAAAAACCTTGAGAGAACCAGACTCAGTTGGGCACGACCATTTTAATTTCTCCGCTGGCCAAAAGTCTTGTGCAGAGCTTCAGTCACCGTGGTGGAGGCTGGAAGATGGCCTCAGCGAAGACTCGTCTGTCCCTGGATAGGATATGTCAACACTTCTCAGTATCTAACCCTCTCAGACCCCAGAGGGTCAATGGTCCTTCTGCAGGAGGGGATGGGGATATGTTTCTGAAATTATAGCAAAATGTACCCAAAATATTTGAGATTGGCAAAAATGTCCACAATGCCCTCTAGTGCATGTCATCTGAAATGTGCAATGAAACTATCCCTGCAGCATGTATAGCAGTTGTATAGCATGTATAGCATTGCAGTTATGAAACATAACAAGTGCCAGGTATTTTGTGCATTTCATAAAAGTGTAGACTGAGGTACATATACTTAAAGAGCCCATATTATAGGTTTTTGAAAATGCCCTTCCATGTAGTGTGTAACAGCTCTAAGTGAAGTGAAATATCCAGCTAAGGCTTAAATCTGTAAGTGTACAGTGTTTAAAATGGTTGATTCAGCTATAAAAGAGTCGACTCATAGTGCTTTAAACGAGTCGTCTTGATAACGACTCATTAGGTGTTTTGCCATGACGTACTAACGAAACCAAGTTATTCACGTGCACGCGCAAACCCGGGAGATTTGAAACCTGCGGCCCCGCCCTCTAACACAGAAACCCACACACAAACATGCTGATCGAATGAAGTCACACTGCAGATGGATATTATTGAGTCTCCACCCAAAGATGAAACCTCAGCATAAGCCCAGCTTTAAGCAGTTGGAAATTTCTGAAAACTACATGCTACAAAGAATACTTCGTTTGTTAAAGGAAGGATCAGTAAAGACTACTGATCGAACATGTCAGGACATGGATCAGTTTCTTCCTCCATTTCTCAAGTGTAAGTACGTGGGATTAAAGTTGTTGCCTCGTTTGCTCTAGCTTGCAAATGTATTTAGTTGTGATTTGTTACTTGTAATACTGTATACTGTATCAGGAGATAGCAACTCGCTATATTCTCATTTCGCGTGCAAAGCCACGTTAAAAACGCGGGGCGAGCCGCTTTGTTTACAGAGCTCCGTGGAGGAGGGTAATGTGTGTGTGTGTGTGTGTGTGTGCGTGCACACGCGTTGTCGTCCGGAGGAGGGTTATGTGTGTGTGTGTGTGTGTGTGCGCGATGTCGTCTGGAGGAGGGTCATGTGTGTGTGTGTGTGTTTGTGTGGACGCATGCGCGAGGGCGAGGGCAATATGTGTGTATGTGTGTGTCTGTGAAAAAAGCAGAATGTGACAAGCTAGAAGATCTCGCCAGTTCTTGGGAGTTTTTGCTCAATAAAATAGTTAGTCGTTAGTATTTTCAAGTCCATCATCTGTATTTACATTCATCCACCAGCAGCTAAACTCCACGCCTTACACTATCGCGCGTGTATGCACAGTGACTACTTCTATTTTGTTGATTTGCTGCTGGGCATTTCACTCTGTCTGTCGCATAAGGCAGTCAGTGTCGACCAATCGCAACAGACTGTCATCGGTCCAATCAGCGCAGATTAGCTTCGTGCTAAGGAGGGGTTTGGGAACAAATGAATCATTGGACGATTCATACGGGAGCCGCTGGGATAATTAGGCAAAAATAAATGCAAATTATAAGACCAGGAAAGTGTTTTTTTGACCTTGCATGTGTATCATACTGTTGTTGGACCCTGTTTCATGTGTAATATGGGCTCTTTAATGAATTAATCCTGTACATTGTGATCCAGTGAGTGGTGTACAGTTTTTCTATTCTGTATTATAAAGGTGCATTAAATATGCTATGGGGGACATGGTGGCTCAGTGGTTAGCACTGTTGCCTCACTGCAAGAAGGATGCTGGATCAGTGTGTGAAGTTTGCATAATCTCTCCGTCCTCTCGTGGGTTTCCTCCAGGTTCTCCGGTTTCCCCCACAGAAGACATGCGGTACAGGTGTGTTAAAGGAACTAAATTGTCTGTAATGTATGAGTGTGTGTGTGTGATTGAGTGTGCATGGGTGTTATCCAGTACTGGGTTGCAGCTGGAAGGGCATCTGCTGCATAAAATATATGCTGGAATAGTTGGCAGTTCATTCCACTGTGGCAACCCCTCATAATCAAGGACTAAGTCGAGGGAAAATGAATGAATAAATATGCTATGTTGTGTCACTTAAAGCTGTTGTGTTTGAAGCAGTTTCCACATGATTTGCTTTTGTGTCTCCTCTGTCTATTTTTATCACCACCATTCAACAGGATATTTGTTTAACATGTCTGTTTTTCGTCCTTTGCAGAAGTCTGACAAAAACAGGATTGGCATTGGCCATGAAAGGAGGAGTTTGGTTGGACGTATGGCTTGTGATGAGAGGGAAGGGAGAGGAGGGGTGGCGTGATGATTTCTCCCACTAATCCTCCGGACACACGCACAAGCCAGGTGCCTACGAGACTGGGAAAGAGGCTTGTAGAGTGAAAGGTGAATGAAGAGGGGGTAATTCAGAGACAAACCATTTAAATAAAGAGTGGGACTGGCTTGAGCCCCTTCATGGAGCAGACTCGTGCAACAGTTCAAGAGCACTTGTGTGTGTGTGTATGTGAGAGAGAGAGAGGGAGGGAGAGATGGGGGAGGCAGCACACTTATCAAGAGTGACAGAGAGAACGGCAGGCGAACAGAGCGGAGGGGGGAGAGCAAAGCTGAAAACGAGAGTGTGGCAAGAAAGCAGCTCATAGTGACAGCAGGGGCAGAGAGAGGTAGAGCGAGCGTGCAGGGGAAGAGAGTACAGAGACGGGGGAAAATGCAGGGGAGACGCTGAAGCTGGGTTGCTGGAGGAAAAACAGGAGAACGCCGACTGCTTGCCAAGCCTAGATAGAAACATTAGTAAGCGAGAATGAAGAAGTACAGAGAACGAGTGGCAATTGAGTGATCTGTCCAAATGTGTGTGTGATGTGCAACTGGCTGTGCTTAAACCACAGTGTGGAGTGTGTTTGTGTAGCGGCTCTGATTGTCTGCGCCACCAGGAAAACGTGCCTGGTGGATTATGAGAGATCAAGAAGAGGACGATTGTGTGTGTGTGTGTGTGTCAGAGTGTGTGAGTTTAATGGTGAACAAAAGGGTTAGGTGCAGCTTGTCCGCGAGTGTGCGTGTTTAGATTGGAAAAGCGTGCAGCTGGAGAGTTGCCTGAGGAACTGGAAAAGATAGTCCAGGGAGTTGAAGCACTTGAGGATGCCAGGGCATCCAGGGACAAGCTAAGCTCAAAGATTTTGCTTAATGTAACTGCCGTCCAAGTACTGAAGACCCGACGAAGGAAAGCAAACCAAGAAAAAGAGACTGAGAAGGCAGATAAGGAGAAAACATGGGTGCACGTGTGTACTCGTGCCATCGGCGGAACTATTTTTAGGAACAAAGTATTGCAGTTCCTGTTGACTACCTCAAAGAGAAGCCACGGAGACTGTAAGATATCTTTGGAGGTTTACTTAAAGGATCGCTCGGTGTCTATTATAGTGTCTATTGATCCCTGGATGTCTTCAGCACCCAGCCATGGGAGAGTGGACCATTTTAGAGCGCCTCCTGGAGGCCGCTGTGCAGCAGCACTCTACTATGATCGGAAGGTAAGAAATACAAAATAAATTAAATGATCTAGTTCTGTTACTTCGAAGAAACTACTATTAATGCAACTGTTGCTAGCGCTTTAGCAGTTAAATTAAATTAAAAATATGTGGTATCTCTTTACTTCCAGTGATGGCTGTTTAACTTTGAGGTTTAGGGTGGATTTTTTTTTTTTTTAGGGTGGATGCTATATCCACCCTATTGTCTAAACCTCCAAACTTGAGTGTTACACTTGATTGATCTAATTGATTTTCACATGGATAATGATACAATTTTTAAAGAACCCCTATTATACATTAAAAAGGGTCATATTTTGTTTTTAAGGGTCTCCAACAACAGGCTGATACACATGCAAGGTTAAAAAACACTTTCATTGTCTTATATTATGTATTTATTTTTACCTAATTATCCCAGCGACTCCCATATGAATCGTTCAGAGATTCATTTGTTTCCAAACCCCTCCTTAGCGCAAAGCTAATCTTCGCTGATTGGACCCATGACAGCCTGTTGCGTTTGGTCGACAGCGTTCATCGCGGTACAGAGTGAAATGGTCACCACGGCTTATGAACAATATTGAAGTGGTGCAGAGTGTATGTGTGAGCATACCTGCCATACCTGTTTTCCCCGGGAGCCCCAGCCACCCTCCCGTTTTGTTATTTATCCCGGAAAACTCCTGTAGATTCAAATTTGAAACTTGACCGTCGCACGTCTGTAGGAACAGCTGACAAACAGCAGTGGAACGCGAGCTCACAAACGCATTTAAATCCGTGACCAAAGCAGCACACGACGCGTTTTCAACATGGCATTAGATGCGATATGAGAATATAAAGAGTTAACCAGATACAGTACAAGCGGTTACAAGTAACAAAACACAATTAAATACATAATTTGCAAGCTGGAGAAAACGAGAAGGCAACCATTTTAATCGCACTTACTACTACTTGTGGAGGAACAAATTGGTCCATGAACTTTGTACTGATAAAGTTTAGGTCAGGTCGGGTCTGACAAAGTCAGATCAATAGTCTTTTCTGATCCTTCCTTTAACAAATGGCAGACGAGTCCCCCGTTGTAAGCTTGTAGATTCCAGAAGCACTCGTCAAAAAAATGACAGGAACACAGCACAAGGCTGGGGCTATAATGCTGAGGTATTTTTGCAAAAATAAACCTCAACCACTGACTCTTCACAGCCTCATCTTTGGGTAGAGAAAATAACACAAATTTTCCCTCACACTTCCAATAATATCCAGCTGAACACACCGTCTTCATGACTTGATTCAATCGGGATCTGCTACAGTGTTCGTGGGCGGGGCCACAGGTTTAAATTTTCCCGAGTTTGCGTGCGCAACAAGTTGGTGGGGCTTAAGTTACGTATCAACATCATGCCGAAACGGCTAAAGACTCGTTATCAAGATGATTCATATGAAGCACTATGAGTCGACTCTTTTATAGATGAATCAATTGTTTTAAACACTGTACACTTTCATATTTAAGCCTTCACTTCACTGTGTGTTACACACTGCATAGAAGATAATTTTCAAAAACCCATAATAGGGGCTCTTTAAATTGAACTCCAAAATAAAAGTGCATGCTGTTCTGAGATGTATTTCAAAATGAATTCAAAAATGGCATGAATTGACAGATTATGAAAAATTGTTGTGCAGTGGTTATTAATCCTGCACTCAGGCACCACATAACTGCATATTTTGTATTTCCTATCTGGTACACACATTAACTGAACAAAATGAACTGACAATTAGATCAATGTGCTTTAAAGTAGGGAGAAATATACAATGTGCAGACCTGTGAGTCCCTCAAACCAGCATTATCGGCACATAATGGTGGGTTATGGTGTAGAAAGAATAACCTAGCTGCTGAGCTTTTAGTTAATCCTGCTGGCACTGTGAGCTCCTATTGGCCGATCTCAAGCTTCAGTAGATCCAATGTTTGAACCACTGAAGCTTGGGAGACCTCAAGTGACATCGCCTGCTCGGGTGATGATTTCACACTCTTTTCTTTTCGTGTGATTCAGACACAAATGTCCCGCCATATCTGCCAGATTTACCTCAAACAAATACTGATTTTATATAGACTCGTTGAATGGTGCTTGTTTGAGCTATATGTGATATTTGCTGGTTTCATTCGTTGTTTTTCTGTCAGCTGCAATTTGTTCTCAGTGTCATGTACTGAAATCTAAGAAACGCACTAATTTGTCTCAGGCTGTCATCTCAATTTAGTTCAAACGCAATGACTGTTCAGCAACATGGTGTGTAAAATGGTATTAGACATCCAAAAAACATCAATGCTTAGTATTTAGTGTAGGTTTTTGGTAATTCGCTTACACTGAGTAATAAATCATTTGATGGCACATATTTTAGACTGATACAGTATGTCGTGTTTTGCTGAATCTGCAGTTCATTGCAATGCTACAACCCAGAATGTGCACAGATCCCATGGCAACAGATGCTGCAATTTGTGTAACTCTCTCTTCCATTCACAATAACAAAGGTTTGCATTTGGCGTGCGTTTTTGTTGCACATGTCAGCTCTGATTTCATCGATTTGGCTGGCCAGACATTTAGCGCGCTTAATAGAGGTGCTGTTGGGCTGAATATGAATGATTATCTTGATCAGATCTCATTCACCAGCCGCTGCCTCCACACTCACACTTCGGTGAGCACAGGCTGTTTGGCTGCCAATGGTGAATTACTCTATGCCTAACAGAGTATGTCTCAAGGGATTGTTTCATTCATCATATTCAGCATCACAGAGGTGATGTATTTTGTTAGTCATTTGGTTAGTGAGTTAATTAGTTAGTTTATGAGCTGTTACAAAAAGGTTAATGGTTTTGTCTCAACATGGAGGGAACTTGCCTAATCTTTTATTTATTTTTTTTCATACTGAATGAAATCAAATTTGATGAACCAATATATATTGGCTATATTCACTGAGAAATAGATATTCATTTTCAAAGGGGGTGTACTTATTTATGCTAATCACTATATATATATATATATATATATATATATATATATATATATATATATATATATATATATATAGTGATTAGCATAAATAAGTACACCCCCTTTGAAAATGAATATATATATATACAGTGTATATATATATATATATATATATATATATATATATATATATATATATATATATATATATATATATATATATATATATATATATATATATATATATATGGTAAGAAAGAAACTAAGAAGTGGTATTTTAGTCATCTACCCATTGTATTCAGTTATTTATTTTCAACCTTTCCATGTAGCAATTGTTAAGGGAACTAGCATACAGTTGAAGTCAGAATTATTAGCCAGACCCCCTGAATTATTAGCCCCTCTGTTTATGTTCATGATGACAGTACATAATATTTTACTAGATATTTTTTAAGACATTTCTATACAGCTTAAAGTGACATTTAAAGGCTTAACTAGGTTAACTAGGCAGGATAGGGTAATTGGACAAGTTATTGTATAACGATGGATGGTTCAGTAGACTATCAAAAATATATATATAGCTAAAAGGGGCTAATAATATTGGCCATGAAATGGTGTTTAAAAAATCGAAAAACTGCTTTTATTCTAGCCGGAATAAAACAAGTAAGACTTTCTCCAGAAGAAAAACTATTATCAGCCATATCAGGTTTGCACGGCTCTCAGTTTTGCCCCCACTCGTCAGCGCTACCAAACCGGCCTATCACAGAGCTTGCGCTACGTGTCGCTGCAACGTGTAGTTACATTTTTTGAGAGGTGCACGTCAGCCACAGCTATGCGACCATGCGAAGGGTGCACGTGTGCATGACACAAAAGTATAATAAAGCGTTTAGTCCCTTTATTAATCAGGGGTTGCTACAGCGGAATGAACCACCAACTTATCCAGCAAATGTTCTACAGAGCGGATGCCCTTCCAGCCACATCCCCTAACTCAGAATCACCCACACACTTTCATTCACACGCTACAGACAATTTAGCCCACCCAATTCACCTATAGCGCATGTCTTTGGGGGAAACCAGAGCACCTGGAGGAAACCCACACAAACATGGGAAGAACATGCAAACTCCACACAGAAATGCCAACTGACCCAGCCGAGGCTCGAACCGGCAACTTTCTTGCTGTGAAATGACAGCGCTACCCACTGTGCCATCACACCACCTACCCAAACATTCTTATTCTTAAATAAATGATAAATTTATTTAAATTTCATTTAAAAAAATTCATTTTTGGTGAACCATCTCTTTAATGCGAAGGGATTCAAAGGTATTTGCAAACTTAATAAAATCAAGACAAATACATGAATCTTTTTAGAATGCCCTTTCCAAATCAACACTTAAAAAGTCTGAGCGTTTGGACACACACACACACACACACACACACACACACACACACACATACAATGTTTAATTTGTATTTTATACTGCAGCAAAATATCAAGAATATTAAGCTGATACTTTGGTTTGTTGAACGCTTTCCACCAAGCAATTACTCAGAACTTCCTAGCGACTGCCTTGCAATTCTCTAGCAACCATTCAGAACACCTTGGCAACTGCACAGTGAAATGCTAAAAACTGCTCTGAGCACCTTAGTTAATAAATATATAATACATATATATACTTTCATTGGTATCCAGCAACAAAACGCGAGGATCATGGCAGCAGATTTTCTAATGACAGTCCAGTTTAAATTCAGTTTTTTCAAATGCTTTAATTACGTTTATAGCCTTTGAGCTAATTGAATCACACAAACACTTTTATAATTAATGTGTCATTGATATTGCAGTACTAGGAGACTGCTTTAATTAAATCCTTATGTAGGGAAGAGAGTGCGGGAATGTGGATGACTAGTATTTGTTCTAAACAGGGTAATCATTTACAAGCTATTACTCAACAAAAGATATCTTAAAATAGAAACCACAAGATTAGACAGGTGGCTGTGCTTCCGCAGCTCACAATGGATGTTTAATAATGAACGAATTGTAAAAT